TGCCTGGCTCATTGGGAAAACTTTAATGAATAAGACCAATGTGGTCCCTGTCCTCATAAAGCTTACTGTTTAGTGGAGGAATTGATCCTAAATGAATAATCACACAAGATCGGTTGAACCCAGGAGGCAGAAGTTGTAGTGAGCTGAGATCGTGCCACTGCACTCCAGCCTGGGTGGCAGAGAAAGACTCCATCTCAAAAAAATAACTAAATAAAATAAGAGACATGAAGTAATGGTGTTAGCCAGGCAAATGGGGAGACAAGAGTTTTCCAGAAAGAAGGAACAGCATGTCCAAGGGCCTTGAGGCAAAAAGATGCTTAGTGAGTTCAAGGAACATAGAACAAGCTAGCAGGGCAAGGATGTCGTGAGCAAGGGGAGAATAACACAAAATGAGAGTAGCATAGTCGATGGGACAGGTTGTGAGGCGCCGTCTTGGCCATGCTAAGGAAGTTCAGCTGGTTCCAAGAATGGAGTGAAGCCATCAAAGTGGTTCCAAGGACGTAGTGTCGTGATCAGATCTGCAGATGTAAAAGGCTGCTGTACCCGATGTGTAGTGAATCATTTGGCAGAGGGCCACAGGGGGTAATGGTGGCAAGGACAGTGAGAAGGCAGTGGATGGGACAGAAGTACTTTGAAGATAACTTTGACAGGGCTTAAGTGACTGAGTCTGAAGGATGACTCCCCAGGTTCTGCCATTACTGACATGGAGAAAGATCTGCAGGGAAGATCAAGAGCTCAGGTTTGACGTGTTAGGTAGGAGATTCCTATAGTGATGATGATGATGATGATGATAAAATAATAGCTAACTCTCATATTGATCCAAAACTACTAACAATAGTATCACCTGAAATGTCTTGAGCCAGGCATTATGCCAAACCCTTTGCAATGCTAAATGTCCTCATACAGTGATCAGCAACCTCTGACCTAACAACTCTCATCCCTACCGAAGCATAAAATCCAAAGCCTTGCTGACTGGACTAACAGGGCTGAAGTCCACTGGCCGTGGTTTCCTCCCCCACGGACGGTGCTGAGATGGGCGCTGCTAACATTTGCTTCTCTCACTTTCCTGCATGATTTAATAAACTCCAAATTCTTCTTGCTTGTCCTCTGAGTTTCCCCTATTCCACCCAATTCAGTCAACTTTTCTTCCACTTCTTCCAAAAGGATTTTTTATATTTTTCAGAGTGGCACATGCCTTAAGAAAATCAAAGTCTACAAAAAGGCTGTTTTCCTCCCAAGACTGCTCTTAACAAGCTGCAAATGAAACAGATCATATTTCCCTGTTTACAGCCCTCTACATCTATAGATAACGTGTTTGCTCTCAAAGGCCAAACTCCACGTTACAATGTGGCCTACCCTACCTTCCAACCTCATCTAGTACTACTCTCCCTTTTATGACTCTGGTTTTTTTAAGTTTCTCCATTTATAAGGTCATTACCTTATGTTAGCTGAAACACTTTCAGTATCAAATGTGCTTTTCATTGCTTTCAATGGATGCCCTTAACATGTGTATATGCATCCCCAGTGCTTCTGCACAGTTCCGGAGGCTGGGAAGTCCAGGGTTGAGGGGCTGCATCCAGGGAAGGCCTTCCTGCTGCGTCCTGCCGTGGCAGAAGGCTTACCACCCTGGTTTTCTCTCTAGTTCTCAGAGCATGCTTTTCCTCAGGGCACTCGCACCTGCTGTTCTCCCTGGACTGCTTTTCCCTGTGACCTTCACGTGGTCGCCTCTTCATCTGCTGTTGGGACTCAGCTCAGAGGCCTCCCTGGCTGGAGTGGGCTGCTTCCCTCATTACCCCAGCGTTACTGTTTATCACAGCATCGGATTTCTTTCTTTGATTGCATTTGCCACAAGCTATAATATTGTTGGCTAACTTGTCAGGCTTCCTGTAACTAACGTATCAGTCCACAAGGACTGATCGCACTTGTCCCCAGACTTTAGCCCAGTTCCAGATATGCAGTAGGTGCTCAGTAAATCTGTGCTGTTTGAATGTTGAAAGGGCCTTGCACTTCATCTCAAGGCAGCTTTGTTTCCTGTTTCCAGACTTTTTGAACATGCTATTGGATACTCATTGTACTTCTTCGCAGATTACAGACTTTAGAGGGATTTTACTTTTCAGTCATTTCATCTGAAGGTTGGGAAAAAACATATCAAATGTATTACTTGAAAATGTAACCTGATATACTGCTTAATTTATTCTGTGTACTAAATCTGGACAGTGTAGTTCAGTCCTTTTAATAACTGTTAGTGAAATTGCCATCATCCCCATTTAAGAAACGAGGAGACTGAGAAATGATGGTGTACTTATGTGCAACTGGAAATCATCAAGTCCCCGAACCCTCTCAATGCCTGATGTGACCTTGTGCTCATTCGCCTCAATTCCACACAATTCTAGAACCTATTGGGGCTGGCCTGTGGATTTGGGATGAGATACCTTTATAACTTCTGTTTTCCTAAGTATTTTCATTTTTAGACATATGGAAAAGTTGAAAGAATAATACAATGAATGCCCATATATAAACCATTTACCTTATTCATTAGCTGCTAGGATTTTGATACTTGGTTTATCTATTCATCCATTTACATGCCATTTTTTCGGAAACAGTAAAGTTGTGCCATCATAATTCTATTAAGTACTTCAGCATGTCATCTCCTAAGCATAAGGATATTGTACTTCATACCACTATGCATTTTTATACTCATGAAACTTGTTCTTTTTTTTTTTTTTTTTTTTTTTTTTTCCTGACAGAGTCTAGCTCTGTTGCCCAGGCTGGAGTACAGTGGTGCGATCTTGGCTCATTGCAACCTCCACCTCCCAGGTTTAAGCAAGTCTCCTACCTCAGCCTTCCGAGAAGCTGGGATTATAAGCATGCACCACCATGCCTGGCTAATTTTTTTGTATTTTTAATAGAGACAGGGTTTCACCATGTTGGCCAGGCTGGTCTTGAACTCCTGACCTCAGGTGATCCACCCACCTCAGCCTCCCAACAAGTTAGGATGATAGGCATGATCCACCACAGCCAGCCATGAAACTTATTCTTGATAGATTATCTAATAGTGTCCCAATAATATCCTTTGTAGGTGGTTGATTTCGGATTGAGCCAGGATACAGTCAAATATGAAGCATTGTACTTGGCAGTCATACTCCTTGGTCTCCTTTAGTCTAGCACAGTTCCCAGCTTTTACTTGTCTTTCATAATAGACATTTTTTAAGAGTCCAGGCCAGTTATTTTGTAGAATGTCCCGTAATTGGGATTATCTAATTGCATACTCATGAGCACACTCATGTTAAATACTATCGACAAGAACTTGGAGTAGACCAGGCATGGTGGCTTGGTGCCTCACACCCATAATCCCAACACTTTGGGAGGCTGAGGCAGGTGGATCACTTGAGGTCAGGAGTGTGTATATGCTACACACACACACACACACACCCCCGAGACTGGGTAATTTATAAAGAAAAGAGGTTTAATTGGCTCACAGTTCTATAGGCATAAGGCATAGCAGCTTTTGCTTCTAGTGACGCCTCAGGAAACACAATCGTGGCTGAGGGGGAAGCAGACATCTTATGTGGCCAGAGCAGAAGAGTGAGGAGGTGCTACATACACACTTCGAAACCACCAGACCTCACAGTCTAACTATCACTAGAATGGCACCAGGCAGATGGTGCTAAACCATTCCTGAGAAACCACCCCCATGATCCAGCCACCTTCCACCAGGCCCCACCTCCAATATTAGGGATTACAATTTGAGATTATCTAATTGTTTACTCGTGATCACACTCTTGTTAAATACTATTGGCTAGAACATGGATTAGATGAAGATGTGTTTCCTCAGTATTTTCATTTTTAGACCATTTTTATGTGATCGTAAAAAATGACACAGATCCAAACCATACCACTTTTTTTTAATGTAAAACTTCTTATGGACCCTAGAGAGCCAAGAACAAAGGGCCTTTTGGAAGTAGAGTTACTGCAGGCACTCACACAGCCTTTGACTTGTATCCCTGTGGCTAGTCAACAATTCTTTGCCAACACCCCACCTACCAAAATTAGACGTCTTTAAAAAAGAATAAAAAGCAGTTCAGAGCACCCAACTGACTGTTTCCCTCTTACAGAACACTTAAGGAGTTCCGTGATCGACCGAAAGGACTTAATAATCAAAAGGATTAAACCCAAACCCCAGCAAGGGGATGACATCACGGCGGTGGACGTGGAGAGGCAGATCGAGGCCTTCCGCAGCCGCCTGATCCACATGCTGGGGGAGCCTCTTGTGCCCCAACTCCAAGACAAAGTGCACTTGCTGAAGCTCCTGCTCTTCTATGCTGCAGACTTGAACCCTGACGCGGAGCCCTCTCAAAAGGGCTGGAGCAGCTCCTGAAGACCTTCCAAGCACTGAATGCCAAGAATACCTCCTGAACTCTATCTCCAACTACTTAGAAGCTCTAAAAGCATGAAAAGTGGCTAAAACTCCTACAGGACCAAACCTATATTATTTAATCAGTAGGTTATAATTTCTAACTCTAGTAAATATCTTTTTTTAAATAATCCTATCCTAGCCTGTTCTCAAATATGGCTTAAATATACAAGGTATATATATTTTTAAGTAAATTATTTATCTATACTTTTTTGAAACAGGTTACTATGTGTACTACATGTTTAACATTTTCATTCAAGATGTGAAAAAAATCCCTCTGCTGAACCCACTTTATACACCAATATTTTATGTCTTTCAAGGTACCAGCGACCTGTTTCTGGAGAGAGACGCTCATTTTTCCCCAATGAAATATAAGCATTCTGTGTTAGACCTGTTATATTGCCTATTAATTTGACTTTGTAATGGGGTGGGGTAAGAAACAAAAGGATCAAGTGTGTTACAAAACATTTGATGTTAAAAGGAAACAATAAAAAGGCAATGGTTTTTCAAAATACCAAGTTCACTGTGACTCTGGGTAGGCAGAGTGGAAGAACTATTGTTAATAGGACAAAAAAAAATAGCCACATTTGAGAAAGTAGTAAGGATTTTTATTGTCAAAACAAGAGATCATACTAGAAGACACAAATAAATTAGACTCTAGGGCCTCTCTATGGAAAGGTCAGCTTCTTATACAGACAAGGTACTATCCAAAACAAAAAACAGGTATTTGAGACAGTGTTCAAGACAATGACTGAACCTGTACACGGTGAGGAGAAATTAAAAGGTGGTTTCACTGTTTCCCTCCCTCAGTAAGGTTATGTGTTGCATAAAGGGATGAGGCTCATTTTGGTGAAAAATGCTTCCACACAGAAAATTTTGAATTTATTCACCTACCCGGCAGACGTTCCAGTCCCTGACCTGAACAAGGAAATCAAAGTAAGGTAACACCACTGGCTTCACATGAACCTCAAGAATATAATCTAACTGTACCTACCATATCCTTTACTTTAAAAAAAGTTTAATGTCCGTTTACCTATACCAAATCAGGAGACTGAACTTTCTCTCTTAGCAAGTTTTTAACCTAATTGGAGTTAAATTAATCTCACTTTAAAGTGCAAGAAAGGCTCTGGTAGACTAGTGTTTGTCCTATGGCATCGGAAGAGGAGCACGCCTCCCGCAGCACTGGCTTGAGAGGCCCCACATGAAGAACTGGCTGCAGGATAGTGATCCATTACGTCCACCAAAAAGCAGGGGGACTCAAGGTTCAGCCTAGAAAGAAGGATCCCTGGCAAGTCTGGCTTTTACCTGTACCCAGGTCCCAAACAAATCTTGGGTCCCCTAACTGGTAAGACTGGAGCACAGCACCAGCCATCAACAGGGCCAGAGTCATCTCAGCAAAGCAGTGAGCAACTCTACGCTATGACTTGTCAATGCTCACGTGGATAGTGATAAAGGAATCAAGAAGCCTGGGCTTTGATTCTTTACCTAATAAGCAGTGATCAAAGTTCTTACCTAGGGTAAAGGATGAAAAAACAGGTAATGAGGTCCCCACTGACCACTGCTGAGAATATTTAGTCTAACTTTAAAGCAATACAAAATGGCTTCTTCCATACAAGGGCAAGCTTTGTACTAATGTTTCTCAAAAACCAATTATGTCTCCAGCTCTAGCCTCAGTTTAACAGGTTTTTTACATTATTTTTTATTTTTATTTTTTTGAGATGGAGTCTCACTCTATGGCCCAGGCTGGAGTGCAATGGCATGATCTTGGCTCACTGCAACCTCCACCTCCTAGGGTTCAAGCAATTCTTGTGTCTCAGCCTCCCGCGTAGCTGGGACTAAAGGCGCACACCATCACGCCCAGCTAGTTTTTTAGTAGAGAACGGAATATATCTTTCCTATGTCAGAATCAAGGTAAAAGGGGAGTGGGGTGCAAGAAACCCTCTTCACCAGAATCCCTGGAGAGAAAGATCTCTAGAAGCCAGTGGGTGTGAGCACATTCAAGTCACGGGGTTTGAGATTATGGGCCCGTGGTGGCTGTTTCTTTCCTTCCATCACTGGGATGTCCATCTTGGGCGGCTTCAAGGCTGCTGGATCTTCAGCCATTCGGTTACTCTGGGCACGGATCAGTTCCATTGGAGAGGGCTTCTGGGCTCCTCGGTAGGCCTGGGTGGCAAAACTTCCTACGAAGTGAACCAGAGTGCAAATGATTTCAAAATCAGTAGGCAGCTCCTGAATTACAACATGGTGAGATGCCTGCCATGCGGCTTTCTGTTCTGAAAGCGCTGCCTTACCAGAATCATACTTCTGAAGGGATCTCGGTCCAAAGAGGCTCCACTTATCTGACAAGTTTCTGTCCTTATCCCCACTTCCAGAGTCCATGGTGCTAGGATTTGGGGCAGGTAAGGCTGTGGAAGAACCAGAAGTGAACCAGCCCCTGGAAGAGAAAGAATAAAACATATCCTAAGTAAAATACCTCTTCCTTCACCCCTAGAAATGTCTCACATCAAAAGAACAGAATTTGAACTATCCCTTCTCCCTCAGAAACCACAGGCTTAAATACAAGCTCGTCTGCCACCCTAGCCTTCCTAAAGCACAGAGGTCCTCGGATGGGTCACAGCAAGGGCTCACCTTGGCCTCTGCTTAGGTGAAGAGTGAGGACTGGTGCTGGGGGTGGACTGGGCTGACGCAGGCTGCCTCTCTTCTTTTGTTAGCTCTCCACTCTGTAGCTTTAGTTTCTGCTCCGATGGGTAAGAAGAGAGACTTTAAAAATGAAAGCAAATTCAAAACAGCTACGTCTGGGTATAAACAATTTGGTTTGCATTCCAGCTTTAGGCACAAGACATCTACAGGCGGAATGATTTTGGATTATCTGACACAGTCCTTTGTTGTTGCCATACTAGATGGAACTCCATCTCCCTAAAAAATGTGTTCATTCTGCACTATATCGCAAATATCCCTGTACTTAAAGCTTTACACTACAACTTTTACTTTCAGAAAAGTGAAGCAATTTCTCCACATTCACCCAGCCAGTAAAATGCAACAGCCAGAACTCAAGCTGCCAGCCTTCTCAGCCTCTTAAGCCGGGCTTAGGCTCTTGTCTCGCTGCTGCTCTTAACATGTACATGCCCTGCTATTCCCAGTCTCTCCAAGCCAAGACTCAGGCATGCTGCTTCTCTTCGGTAAATGCTTCCTCTGAAGAAGCTTCGTTCTCTCCTTACCTCCCACAGTCAGCCACCCTGGGTTCCCTCAGCACCGTGAGTATCCCTCCAACTGACTCGCAGTCTAGCAGGGAGAGACAGGTCATCTCAGCTCTTCTAGAGCAAGGCTCCCATGTTGTCTCCTCCCTCCAGGCCTGCCTGCCACTGCTTAGCCCAAGCTGCATTCCAAACAATGATCACGTTTGAATTTTCTCAAACACTCAACAGATCCATTCATGTAAGTTGACAATCTGTTACAAGATGTAAGTTCCAGCTAGCATTTACGGGCAAGACACAGAAAACGGGTCAACCAAAGTCAATCCTACCATTATATAAGGTGAATTGCTCAAATAGAATTCTCACTGACCTATCCTGGAAAGTTTAGTTAAGTGTCAAAGGCTAATGGTGCCCCTCTGGAAGCATCTGTCTTGTTAGAAAGCTTAAACTGGCCACCAGCCCAACCCTGATTTCCTATAGCAGTAGTTTGAAACCTAGCCTGCAGAAGAATCATCTGGAATGCTCATTACGAAATGCAAACAGGGCCAGACGTGGTGGCTCACACATGTAATCCCAGCACTTGGGAGGCTGAGGCGGGTAGGTCACATGAGGTCAGGAGTTCTAGACCAGGCTGGCCGACATGGTGAAACCCCATCTCTACTAAAAATTAGCCAGGCATGGTAGCACATGCCTGTAATCCTAACTACTTGGAAGGCTGAGGTGGGAGGATCGCTTGAACCCAGGAGACAGAGGTTGCAGTTAGCCAAGATCTCAACGCAGCACTCCAGCCCAGGTGACTGCAAACAGGCCACAATGTTTTACATCCCCACCCACAGACCACCAGATCCGTGTTATTCCTCCTTCCATATACTGTACACCATGATCCTTTCCTGCCTCTTGTGCTTTCCTCACATGCCCTCATCATAAATACCCTGTTCAGAACTCTTTTTTTTTTTTTTTTTTGAGACCGAGTTTCGCTCGTTACCCAGGCTAGAGTGCAATGGCGCGATCTCGGCTCACCGCAACCTCCGCCTCCTGGGTTCAGGCAATTCTCCTGCCTCAGCCTCCTGAGTAGCTGGGATTACAGGCACGCGCCACCATACCCAGCTAATTTTTTGTATTTTTAGTAGAGACGGGGTTTCACCATGTTGACCAGGATGGTCTCGATCTCTCGACCTTGTGATCCACCCGCCTCGGCCTCCCGAAGTGCTGGGATTACAGGCTTGAGCCACCGCGCCCGGCCCAGAACTCTTAAAGCTTGGGTCAAGCCTGGATTCTGACTCACCCTTGCCTACATAAGCCAGCCCAAGTTTCTTAACTGTAATTGTGTCCCTTCACAATCTGCCCCCGACTCCCTTATGAGCCCCTTCAGAAGCCAGATTTCCAAGCTGCTTTGGAATAAGGAGGAAAAAGCCCACAGGAAGTAAGAAATCAGGAGACTTGGGTTCGGGTTCTATGAGTGGCTGAACAGATGACCTTGAATCCCAATCTCCTCATTTACAAAATATGGAGAAGAGCATCGGCCCCAAAAGGTGACCGTGAGGATGAAATGAATGCCAGTGCTTCCCGCATCACACAGCACCGTCCGGTATGAGCGGCCTTCTCTGACAGAAGGTCATTTGAAACTACTTATTCAAATATCTGGCTATCACTAAATTAACCCTTACCAAAATTCTTCATTTATAGAAATGAAAATAGCAAAAACATTCCAGCTCCATATTTGATTTTAACTTCTTAAGAATTAAATGCAGAGCAGGATGTTCCTTTCCAGTTAAACTGTTACCTCTGTTGAGGCCGCCCAGTTCTCCCCAAGATACGCCACATTTGCTTTATGGTTCATAAAGTGCTCACACGTGTATGTAAGCTGAGACTCTCACTTGATCCTGCTAACCGGAAGCAGCAAAACTGACACCCCCACTGTATAGGTGGATAAGCAAAAACCTCAAGGCTAAGAGCTCTGGAGCGAGACTAACTCCATGCCCCCAACTAACTGAGCTGGTAACTTCGAAACCACAGCCACATTTCAAGCCATGAACACTGAAGGTTTTGTTTTTCGAAAGTTCCTAAGAGCTTACGTGGAGTGCTTCTGCCACTCGAAGGTACTTGGTCTCCTCGGTGGTGAGGCCCTTGTGGGGTGTGTAGCCAGCATCTCTCAGCCCTGCCTGTCGCCCAAAATGCTGAATGCTTTCCTGGGTCTGTTCTGGGAACAGAGGAGATGACAGTCATGCCCATTCCCCTCTCCCATCACAAAACAGGGAAGACAACATGGATATCTGCTGTTCTCCCCAGAAGCAAAAGACCACAATGACAATCCAAAGGAGAGGAGAGTTCCCCCAGAGAGGCACCGGGGCAGTAATTCGGAACCTCACACAAAGGTTCTCTAGCCAGAAGGAAGCCTTCCCTTACACCAAGCTGAAGAGGTTACTCCTAAAGGGATAGCTGAAGAACCCTGAGGTCAATACTCGCACACTCCTCTTAATTATACATGGTGACACTTTCTTTGTATCGAGAAATGCAACATGGGGCCGGGGGCAGTGGCTCATGCCTGTAATCCCAGCACTTTTGGGAGGCCGAGGTGGGCGGATCACCTGAGGTCAGGAGTTTGAGACCAGCTTGACCAACATGGAGAAATCTCATCTCTATGAAAAATACAAAATCAGCTGGGCATGATGGCACATGCCTGTAATCCCAGCTACTTGGGTGGCTAGGGCAGGAGAATTGCTTGAACCCAGGAATTGGAGGTTGTGATGAGCCGAGATCATGCCATTGCACTCCAGCCTGGGCAACAAGAGCGAAACTCTGTCTCAAAAAAAAAAAAAAAAAAACACAAATACACAAAAATTAGCCATGCATGGTAGCAGGCACCTATAATCTAGCAACTTTTGGGGGGCTGAGACATGAGAATCGCTTGAACCTGGGAGGCAGAGGTTACAGCGAGCCAAGACTGCACCACTGTTCTTCAGCCTGAGTGCCAAGACTAAAATTCCATCTCAAAAAAAAAGAAAAAGAAAAGAAATACAACATGGAATCACTTGAGACCAGGAGTTCAAGACCAGCCTGGTCAAGATGGCAAAACACATCTCTACCAAAAATATATAAATTAGCTGAGCGTGGCAGTGTGTGCCTGTAATCCCAGTTATTTGGGAGGCTGAGGCAAAAGAATCACTTTAACCTGGGAGAGGCTGAGGTTGCAGTGAGCCAAGATCGTGCCATTGCACTCCAGCCTGGGCGACAGACTCTGTCTCAACCACAAAAAAGAAATGCAGCATGGACAAGGCAGCTGATATCCCGACACAGTACAAATTCTCCAAATACAAAACTTCCGAAGAGAGATGCACCACCCTCATCACCCACACACAACTGACCACATTCAGGCTAGATGGCACCAGGGTACCATTCAGATTCAAACAGCCTGCCTTGAATTAGCCAGAGTCTACTGACTCCACGTTTCTCCTGTGTGAAATGGCCCATCCTGGTGCCTGGCATAGCTGACATACTCAACATTCCTTCAGTCTGACTTGATTATCTCAGAATAAATAAGTTAGTTCTGCTGTGGAATGAGTAACGGCTGACTTTCTGCTTCATCTGTACACAAACTACAGAATACACTCATATACAGCTTGTGGCAGCTGTGGACAACAAGTCCAGATATCAGACACCTTTTATAACTTAGTCATTCCTCTTCTAAGGAGCTATTTCCATCAGAAATAGAAGCAAAGAAAAACTAAATGCATAAGGATATTCTCCAGACTTACCAGGTAGTCACTTGAAAATCTAAAAAGAAGGGATTTCATGAATTACAGTATACCAATACCACAAATTTTTTTTTTTTTTTTTTTTTTTTGAGATGGAGTCTCACTCTGTCACCTCAACTGGAGTGCAGTGGCATGATCTCAGCTCACTGCAACCTCTACCTCCCCAGTTCAAGCGATTCTCCTGCCTCAGCTTCCTGTGTAGATAGGACTACAGGTGTGCGCCACCAGGGTCTCACTGTGTTGCTCAGGTTGGTTCTCAAACTCCTGGGCTCAAGCATTTCTCCTGCTTCGGCCTCCTCAAGTGCTATGATTACAGGCCTGTGCCACCATGCCCAGTTGGTAAACTAGTTTCATTAAAATTAAATTTGTTTCTTAGAACAATGACTACGTTTTGTAACATGGCTAGAACACATTCTCAAGCTTATAAAATAAAAGTAGTGTTGCTGATTCAACAGGTGTGAATAAGAGAAAACCAAAGTATAGGCCAGGTGCGGTGGCTCACACCTATGATCCCAGCACTCTGGGAGGCCAAGGTGGCCAGATCACAAGGTCAGGAGTTCGAGATCAGCCTGGCCAACATAGTGAAACCCCATCTCTCCTAATACAAAAATTAGTCAGGGGTGATGGCACACACCTGTAGTCCCAGCTACTTGGGAGGCTAAGGCAGGAGAATCGCTTGAACCCCGAGGCAGAGGTTGCAAAGTGCAGACACCAGGCCAATGCACTCCAGCCTGGGGGACAAAGTGAGACTCTATCTCAAAAAAAAGAAAAAAAAGAGAGAGAGAAAAAACCAAAGTAAGAGTTTGGACTTTTGGTTCTTGGTGAATTCACTAGGAATTGTGCAAGACAAACTGATGCCCTCCTGGAGAAGATAAACAAGGGCTTCTGACTTCAAAAATGAGTCACCCAAGGAGAACCTCTATGTACCTTGCCCCGGCAGAGGCACTGCTGCTGACAAGCAGAGCCATGCATCTCATTGTTAACTTCCCACAGCAACCTGAGAAACCCTCCAGAATGAAGAAGTTTAGCTAACGTGTTATAAGGTTAAAAAAAAATGCAAGCGCTCCTATCAGCGTTCATTGGGACGACCAATCATACATTCTTAAGACGAAAGGCACTAAGTGGAGCTGGTCCTCTTCCTGGTAGACCAACTTTGAGCTGTTTAATTAAAAAACAAAAATCTGGGGCATGAAAATGCCTCAATGTTTTGCCTTCTCCAGCAGAGCTTGAAACAGTAACAACAGCAGCTGCCAGCCACCGAGCACTGGGCCGTCCAATCCTCACCTCAACCTCAACCTGCCAGTTAAATTCCCGATTTTAGAGCGGGGCAAACAGTCTCCATAGTTAAGTAACTTGCCCAAGTCCACAGTGACAGATCTAGGACAAAATGAGATTGAATCAACAAAGCAGCAGGAATGCACGTAAATCAGATGAGACGCTTAACATCTGGCAAATCCTCCACCTAATAAATGGAGCCTCAATACTGACAGGACTCAGCCGCCGAACTGACATTTGTTGGGACAAGGCAAGGTGGGTACGTTGGAGAATCTTCTAGTCGGCTTGTAGGGAGCCTCAACTCTCCCCCGCCCCAGTGGCACTCTACGCAGAGGGTGAAGAGTGCTTACTTGTGATCAGAGAATTCATGATGACATGGGTAGCCTTAGCCTTCACCACTGGGACCTTGTCCACACTGTCAGTGGCTGATGACAGCGTCACGGCAGGGGAGGGTAGACTGGCCTCTCCTTCCTCCACCTGTTCAAGAGAGGTACAGCACAGAGCACTTAAGCAGGGCAGAGGAGTCACACACCTAAACTCACTCCTCTGGGGAGGATGTTACTGAAATCACATGAATCTGGTTAAGTGAGGAAATAGTTGAAGGGAGGATTTGGTCATCTCCATCCAGCTAAACAGGTATTATCCATAGTGACAACAAAGACATCATGCGAATAGTTCACATTGATAAAAGTGGGAAAGCCAGAATCTGAAGCTCTGAGGTCCACTACCACCCCAGACTACGACCTTCCAATACACTATAGTACTATGCCAATGCAGAAGAAAAGCCTATTACGAAGCAGTGACCACACAGCGGGCACTGTGCTAGGTCGTAATTAACGAGAGCACTGGCTAAGTGTTTCTCACCCTGTGCCAAACATCAGAATCACCTGGAGGGTTGTTAAACAGGCTGCCGGGCTCCACCTCAGAGTTTGATTCAGTAGGTCCCGGTTATTCTGGGGTGGAGTTCAAGAATTTGTTTCTAATGAATTCCCAGGTGATGCTGATGCTGCAGAACCCAAGACCACAACTTGAGGACCACTGCTCCCAAGTTTCAAGTAATGGTCTTTTGAAACAAATTTAAAAATCTACTTAGCTCCTAATTGTTAACATGCAAGAGCTGGGAGCCGCCACCTTCTGCAATTGAAACACCTGATACCTTGCTCAAGCCTAGTAGGGAGGAGAGAATAAGGCTTACTCTTTATTCTGTGCTTATCTGGAAGAACTGATAAGATGGTTGAAAAGCGGGGACAGATAAAAAGTACTGAAAATGTTGTATGCTTACTACAAAACAGCATTTATACCTTTAAGCTGTGACCTTGAGTAAAACTGGAGCCTATGTTTCCTTACTGGGAAGATGGTTGATTCCTAACATGGGAAGAGTTAGGGCGAATGAAAGACTGCATGCATTGAGTCAAGCAGAGGCCTCCTTTAGAGCAGCTGTTCCAAGTTGTCAGCTGTTCCGGCTGAGGCCCCACAGAAACCTGGAAGCCTGCTTATCCCTTGCCCTGTGGAGCCATCAGCAGGGTATGTGGCCTGGGAAGCGCCGCCAGAAGCCCTCTCACCTCCTGCTCTGGACCTAACGCCCACTGCTCTGACGCTGCAGGCAAGCTGCATCAGGCCTTTGCTCCTTGTACTTTTGCTACTCGTTACATGGAATACTCTCTCTAAATAAGTGACTGGTCGGATTTCAGTAGATAATTGATACAGGGAATATCCCCCAGAGCTGTAGGGGGCACTTTCCTAGAAAGGAGCTCTCTGCCTTGACAGTATATTGGAGGGTGGGGAAAAAAGCCACTCATTAGAAAGAATCAAATATGGCTCTACAAAGAGAAAGTGACAAGCCTTTGCATCCCCTTTATTTAATCCCCAAAACACCTCTACAACATAAGGTATTCCCAACTCTTAAAGGGAGACACTGGGGCTCCGGGTAAAGTTGTGCGCCCAAGGCGTTGCCAGGACAGACCACTTGGGATTCACACCAAGGTCTGTTTCAGTGGACCCTTCCTGTGTGTACTGCCTGTCAGGCCCTGAGCTATCATATGGCTCAAAGTTCAGAGAAACTGGAGATACAGGGTAAACACCCTGTGTGAACTTGGCAGGCGCACTTTATCCAGGCAACAGTGTAACATTTTTTGTATTATTGGTGGCTGGAGAGTCAGAGGTGAGAAATGTCCCTGAGGTCAGGAAGCACAGGCTCTAAAAACGTAAACCTACAAAACTAGACTGCACAGAGGACTGTGAGGTGTATTAGGAAGGGCCTTGGGAAGGAGACAGTTACAGAGGACGGCCATGGGAAAATGAAGCTGTGGCTGGAGAAACAGCATGAGGAGAGACGCAGCACGTGTTCAAGAAAGGGCCAATTTCTCCCCAATCACAAAATGAACATCTCTGGGGAATCTCTGCCAGGCCCTCTGCTGGATCCTGCAGATATACAAACCTAGTCACGGCCCCTGTCCTCAGGAAGCGAATGGAGGGTGAGAAAGCAATGCAGGGATGGTGACAGGGACCATGATACCGTGGAGAGCTCAAAGGGAGAGGTGACGGCCTTATCAGGAGGATGGAGATGTCCGAAAAACTGTCACAGAAGAGTCTCTTGAGTTTAGACTTTAAGGAGACCATTTTTCAGGCAAATGCAGTGGGAGAAGGGGTGAGAGAACAGGATGCGGATGGTAAATATCCTAAACCATCAGGGCAGTGTGAGCCAAAAACTGAAAGGCAGAAAACATGCTGCGAAGTGCAAGAACTGTAGGTTCAAGCACTGGGTAGGAGAGCTGGGGAGAGGCAGGCAGGACTTAGATCACATGGAACGTGGCTGAACCTGGATTTAGCCCTGCAGGGAACGGGAAGGGGAATCTGGACGGGTCGGGGCAGACAAGGCCATTCTAGTTTTGAATTAAAAAGAAAAAAAACCTGGCCAGGCGTGGTGGCTCATGCCTGTCATCCCAGCACTTTGGGAGGCCAAGGCAGGCGGATCACGAGGTCAGGAAATCAAGACCATCCTGGCCAACATGGTGAAACCCCATCTCTACTGAAATACAAAAAATTAGCCAGGCATGGTGGCAGGCGCCTATAGTCCCAGCTACTCGAGAGGCTGAGGCAGGAGAATCACTTGAACCTGGGAGGCAGAGGTTGCAGTGAGCCGAGATTGTGCCATTGCACTCCAGCCTGGCGACAGAGCAAGACTCCATCTCAAAAAAAAAAAAGAAAGAAAGAGAAGGAAGGGGAATTAATTTTAAAAACCATCTACTGGGTACAGTGTACACTATTCACGTGACAGGTGTACTAAAAGCCCAGACTTCACCACTATACAATTCATCCATGTGAACAAAACCACGGGTAACCCTAAAGCTACTGAATTTTTTTTAATGAAATAAATGAAATTTTTTAAAAAGCAAAAAAGACATCAACTATAACTGAGGCACAGAAAACATATACAGAGGGTAGTTGCCGCCCGATTCGATGGGCACAGAGAGCCGCTGAAGGCTTCTGGAGCAGAGGAAGGACAAAGGGGTTGCATTTGCCGGAAGTGGCCAGCAGGGTCAGATACCTTGGCGAGGTGCTGATACTTGCGCTCTGGAATCACTGGCTTCCAGGGGACACTGCCCATGTCCGATGGAGGAGGAGTCATGGGCGCAGGGTCCTCGAGGGTATCATCATAGCTGAGTGCCCGGCGGTATATCCCGATGGGCAGGGACATCTTGCCTAGAGGCCCACTAGCCTCAAGAGCTAAGAACAGAGACACCTGTCAAGACAGGTTCAGCAACTGGACATACTAGTAGCTTTAAATTAATCTGCAGGAAGTAAAGTTCTGAAATACTCTTGTTCTCAGATAGAGCAAAAATAGTTTGTTCTGGAGCAGCTAATCCCAGCCAGGAAAGGCCGATTCCTTCCTCTATGCCTGACACTTTGGACGGTCCACTTACCCACTCGGGCATCCTCATCCTTTTTTTTATTTGTTTAGAGAAACAGCCTATGTTGCCCAGGCTGGAGTGCGGCAGCACGATCACGGCTCACTGCAGGCTCAACCTCCTGGGCTCAAGTGCCTCAGTCTAGTGAGTAGCTGGGATTCTTATAGGCATGTGCCACCACGTCCTGCTAATTTTCATGGATTAGGAAACCTGAAGTTCCATTTAAATGTACTTGGCCACAACTTCAAAGTACAATTTGGAATCAAACCCCAAAAACTATCTGATTTCAAAGCTGTGTCCTTTATGCCACAGAAGCCACCCTCTACTGTAATACCAAGGCTCTCAATTCATGTAAGACTGAGGACATGAAATGACAGAGGATAAAGAGTTCTCATTCCCATTTCATAGATGAGGAAACTAGGGCCTAGGAGTAAAGTGAGCAGCCCAAGTTCATTCAAAAACGGCCACCTGAGGCTCAGCCAAAGTCTGTGACTCCTCTACCTTCCTTTCCTCACCAAAGAAAACAAAGGAACTATAAAAAATGATGTCTGGCATCATCTGTAGTTTCAAATATTCTGTATGACTTATTTAAACAACAGAGTCACTTTCCATCATAGAAATTATTGACAACCAGTCTCGAAAACCACCACCAGCTGATCCTGCCATTCCTGTCTATTGGGACTGATCCCCAGCATGTCCGGTTGTGATGCAGCCACCCCATTCAAGGGCACTCTCAGCTGTGCCAGGCCAGGGAGCCAAGTTCATTGTGTTTGGTTTGCTAATCCTTCCATATCAGAACTAATATCCAGAGCCTAAAGGTGAAATTTTCCTGTTGCTAAAATCACATAACCATACTAAGACATCAACCTGCCTGACAATAAGTCCAAAACCACAACAGATTTCATATAAATGGCAAGGGGACCAAGCAGCTACCATTATTATTACTATTGCTACCAATAATAATTAACAAAAGCATAGAAATAAAAAGAGGATTAGTGGTTGCTCGGGGCGAGGAATGAGGATATGACTGCTAATAGTGTGAGGTTTTCCTTTGGAGGACATACTGTAATTTGGCCAGGTGTGGTGGCTCACGCCTATAATCCCAGCACTTTGGGAGGCTGAGTGGGCAGATCCCCTGAGGTCAGAAGTTCCAAATCCCATCTCTACTCAAAATACAGAAAATTAGCCAAGCGTGGTGGCATGTGCCTATAGTACCAGCTACTTGAGAGGCTGAGGCAGGAGAATTGCTTAAACCTGGGAGGCAGAAGTTGCAGTGAGCTGAGACCATGCCACTGCATTCCAACCTGGGCAACAGAGTGAAACTCCATCTCAAAAAAGAAAAGCAAAGAAAATATGCTGTAATTAGGTTGTAGTGTTGTTTGCGCAACCCTGTGAATATACTAAAAATCACAATATCGTTCACTTTCAGTGGGTGAATTTTATGGTATGTGCATAACATCTCAAACACACAAGCAAATAATAATTATTAAGTCAGTCGGCCGGGCGCGGTGGCTCACGCCTGTAATCCCAGCACTTTGGGAGGCTGAGGCGGGTGGATCACGAGGTCAAGAGATCGAGACCATCCTGGTCAACATGGTGAAACCCCGTCTCTACTAAAAATACAAAACATTAGCTGGGCATGGTGGCGTGTGCCTGTAATCCCAGCTACTCAGGAGGCTGAGGCAGGAGAATTGCCTGAACCCAGGAGGTGGAGGTTGCGGTGAGCCGAGATCGCGCCATTGCACTCCAGCCTGGGTAACAAGAGTGAAACTCCATCTCAAAAAAAAAAAAAAATTATTAAGTCTTCCTCCTGGCTAGACAATTATATCCCTCATCTTATCTAATCCTCATTAAGCAGATGTTCTTCCCATTTTCCAATTTCCCATTGTTGTGATCAACTTGCCCAATATCACCCAGCTGGAAAGAGTGCGCTGGGAACTGGAACACAGACCCAAGCCAGTGCGCGCACACTGCATGCAACACACTACAAAGCATTCGCCAAATAGGCACAACCCTATGGCTAATGATGGCTACATAGAGTTTATGGTAATCACAGCAACAATGAAAGACAAACTAAAACAGAGCTGATGATGTTAAGACTGGCGATAGATCTACATTAGGGAATACAGGAGACTTCTATTAATCCACCTATTTGGGAAGCAATTTCAAAAACATCTTAGACTCCCACTGAACTGCCATCCTAAAAGTAATAAAGTTGGCTAATACTTAATAGAAAATATGTTCCTATAAAAAGAGACCAAATGCATTCTGGGTAGTAAACGCATATTTATCATTAATTTTTAACTCCCATTTTTACATATTTTATTTAATCTTTCACAACCCTAAGAGATAGGAACCATCATCTTTCTTTATCATAATACTTTACTAAGAATCAGAAATCGAGTGATTCAAATTTAATTAAAACTCACTTTCCCTACTCATGAAACAATTCAAGGAGTGATTGATGGTGTCAGTAACCCAGAAATTGACTCATTAAGTGTGGCTGTGAGCATTTTCATGATTAAGTTCAATCTGCCATTTAAACAGGCTGATGCCTTTTTACCAAGACTTCCATCTCACCTCCCCACCACCACCAAAAAGGTGAGTTTAATCACTTTGGTACATACTACAAGAACTGCACAACTTATTCTGAATCCTTATTTGATAACTGTAGTAAAGTAATAAATTTACCATAATACCCTTAAATGAAGTGGCTGTTCTCTTTAAGTTAGGTTAAAGTTTCATACTACGGCTGAGTTGCTAATAAAATATTTAAATGATGCCAATCTAAGGCTGGGCACTGTGGCTCATGCCTATAATCCCAGTACTTTGGGAGGCTGAGGAGAGTGGATCACCTGAGGTCAGCAGTTCGTGACCAGCCTGACCAACACGGAGAAACCCCCATCTATATTAAAAATATAAAAATTAGCTGGTGTGGTGGCAGATACCTGCAACCCCAGCTACTCAGGAGGCTGAGGCAGGAGAATCACTTGAGCTCGAGAGGCAGAAGTTGCAGTGAGCTGAGATCGCACCGCTGGATTCCAGCCTGGGCAACAAAGTGAGACTCCGTCTCAAAAATAAAATAAAACTGGCCAGACTCAGTGTCTCACACCTGTAATCCCAGCACTTTGGGAGGCTGAGGCAGGCAGATTACAAGGTCAGGCATTCGAGACCAGCCTGGCCAATATGGTGAAATCCCACCTCTACTAAAAATACAAAATTAGAGCTGGATCATGCCACTGCACTCCAGCCTGGGCGACAGAGCAATACTCCATCTCAAAAAAAAATAAAATAATAAAATAAGCCAATCTATTAAGTCTCAATACTCACCTAGTGGCAGAGATTAACCATTAAATAAATATGTAATTCAGATAAAATGGTTTCTGTCTAGCTTAAAACATTAATAAGGGCAAAACACGATTTTACCAAAAAGAATTAGGTTTACCAGGCACTTCTGGTTGTCTTGAAGCCATTGAAAGACTGGGATCCAGTTGCTTTTTCTATATAGAATTCCGAGCTGAGCCCCTGCCACCTAATAAAATAACAAAGGGCATTTTCTTATGGTGAACACCAAAGAATAGCGCAAATGCTGTTCTTCCGACAGGCACAAAGAATTTTATGGATTGTTTACAAGGTTGAAACACACATACAAGAGCCAATGGGTGACAAATATGCCAATGAAAAAAAGGAAAAATTCAAAGGTCTCACCACTGCCGTGGCTGATCTGAACACCTGTGAGATGACAGAGCTAAGACACCATACATGGTGAAAAAGTCACCTTACCACGGTGAAATGATGTGACGACTAAGCTGACAGACAGATGTTAATGAGGAACATGGTCGAGCTGCTGCAAATTAGCAAAGCTTCCCAGGAAGAGTCCATCCAGAGGTTCTAATAACAACAAACAGCCAGCATTGGAACAGCCCATCAGAGTCTGACACTTGTTTATTCTCCACAACAACTTTCCAAGGGCTATTACGCTCATTTCATTTTCTTAACTCACAGCAAGCGGCCAGATACCACAATAGGAAAATTCACTCTTTATTGCTAACACTATAAACTATTTATAGCGTTTATCTTGTCTTTCATTCCTTGCAGACATTATTTATCCCAATCCTAATTTTTTTTTTTTTTTTTAAAGCTATCTCTTACTTGAAGGATAGCCGAAATTTAAAGAGAAGGAAACTGGACCCAGGAGGGCAGATCACTTGAGGTCAGGAGTTCAAGACTAGCCTGGCCAACACGGTGAAACCCCGTCTCTACTAAAAATACAAAAATTAGCTGGGTGTGGTGGCGGGCGCCTGTAATCCCAGTTACTGGAAAGGCTGGGGCAGGAGAATCGCTTGCACCCGGGAGGCGGAGGTTGCGGTGAGCCCGAGATCACACCATTGCACTCCAGCCTGGGTAACAAGAGCGAAACTCCGTCTCAAAAAAAGAAAAAAAAAAAAAAAAAAAAAAGATTACGCCACTGCACTCCAGCCTGGGCGACAGAGTGAGACTCAGTCCCAAAAATAAAAAATTTTAATTTTTTTTTTTTTTTTTTTTTTTTTTTTGAGACGGAGTTTCGCTCTTGTCACCCAGGCTGGAGTGCAATGGTGTGATCTCGGCTCACCGCAACCTCCGCCTCCTGGGTTCAGGCAATTCTCCTGCTTCAGCCTCCTGAGTAGCTGGGATTACAGGCACGCGCCACCATGCCCGGCTAATTTTTCGTATTTTTGGTAGCGACGGGGTTTCACCATGTTGACCAGGATGGTCTCGATCTCTTGACCTCGTGATCCACCCGCCTCGGCCTCCCAAAGCGCTGGGATTACAGGCTTGAGCCACCGCGCCCGGCCCTTAAATTTTAAAAATAAGAAGGAAACTAAAAATCACAAAAGTTAAGTAAATTTGTCCCCCGTCACAGATAAGGGCCCATCTGCAAGGCAGGTAGTTTCATGCCCAGTTTACAGGGGAGTTAAAACGAGGGCCCTGAGAAAGTTATTTTACTATTTTTCAGCTTGCTGTACTGTCCCTCTATTCTGAAAGGGCTCAGAGGGAGCAAACCAGTTATTGACAGTTCACTAAGAACGTCGCGAAGGCTGAGTTCAGCAATCCTCCCTAACCAGAGAGCATTCCCGCCCCAGACATATCCCCTTACCTTTCCCCTTTCCCTGCGCCCCCACCCCCAGCTCACCCTCCTCTGCCTCTACTTCACAAGATACAAGACGGTGCCGCCAGGATATGAAAGGCCGGCTGCTTTTCCCACCCTTCCAGGCCAAGATTAGGGCCAGGACCCTAGCCTGAGGCTCCCGAGGATGGGGCAAGGCGAGGGCTTGGGAGATGAGGCTGAGGACAGGCGGCGGGCTGGGCTGGTCCCAGGAAGCGGAGGGGAAGCCCGTATGGGAGCTGCAGGGTATCCCCGGAATGAAGCCCCATTACGGGGACCCCAGACAGCGGAACCAGGGGGAAGCCCGGCCAAGCTCGAAGCCGGGCTGAAGGGGTAAGGGGTAGGGGAGAGGGGAACGGCTTGGAGGGGCCCCGAGACCCGGCCTCGCCGGAAGCGTCCCTCCCGATCCGCAGAGAACGCAGCCCTAGGGAGGGCCCAAGCCCGCCATCAGTTCACCTGTTATCCTGCTGCCGCGGGGCTGCTTGCGGCCCGGAATCCGGCACTAAAAAGGTTCCGAGGGCCCACGACTCCCAAGACGCTGTGGCGCAGTCTGGACCCAAGCCATGGTGAGAGCGGCGGCGACAGAGAAGGTCTCCACGACCTACCGCGAAGCACTGCCCGCCGGGCAGGCAGGCAGCCCTTGTGTTAAAGCCTCCGGAGACCGCGGAATCTCGCGCGAGACTTGGCCCACATGCTCTCCGGGCATGCTGGGAGTTGTAGTCCACCATCACGAAACCTCACGCCCTTCGCTACCCAGCGGGTTGCCTAGCCGCAGCTCTCAGTGTGGAATCCTCCAGCCCCGAAAGGAAACACCCACCCTTCACCACCACTTCCTTCCTCTGGCCCTGTGCTGTGCCTGGGTCCGTGACAAGCTAAGGGAAGATAGAGATGGCATAGTAAAATGACACCCACAAACCTAATCCCTCGAGGCTCAAAAAGGGCTGCCAAGTGCCAGCACTTGTCATCCTATTTTTCCCACTTCACGGAGGTGAAGCTGAGACTGGGAGAGATGAAAAGTCACTTTGATTAATAAGCGGTGTAGTGAGCATGGACTGTCTTCCAAAAACAGCGGGGATAGGCAGGGTCCAAACTAGTAACTGAAGAAAAAGGGGAACCGACCTCACCTGCCTCCCCTAGGAAAGGCGATCCTAATATCATTTCTCTATTACACTAAGGAAAGTGAGGCTTAGGGGCACCAGCTAAGGCGTCAGTCACATCCTGAAGGAAGACTTCTCTTATTCCTAAAGGGTTCACAGAGAAGAAAAAGCAACGAAGTTAAAGCAGAAGTTGCAAAAATCTATCCACATTTCTACCCCAGTCCAAAGCTTGCCATCAAGACCCATCTCAGGACTATGAGTGGTAGTGAGGGGTGGATGCCACGTTTAGATTTCAGCATTTGAGGCGTCCAGGCACGCTGGCAGAACTGAGAGGCCTTGCTAATACAACTTTAAACGGTTTAAGCTGTTTCCAGACCAGGGTGCTTGAGTGTACAACAAATTGAAGTCTTTAATGAATTATATAATTAGCTTATGAATAGCACAATTATACTGCAGCATGATTTTGTATGTGTATGTGTGTGTGTGTGTGTGTGTGTGTATGTGTGTTAAAGGTGTACTTTTGTTAATTTCGAGCTTTTAAAATATGCCATATTTTTAACTTCTGTGGAAGCAAAGCTGGCACCTTGCTCCTTATCCACCACAGTAAGGAATGTATATCACATCTCAGTAAGAAAAGGAAGAAATAGCACCTTGCACTTTTATATGGATCATAAGGTGGGATCATCTCATTTATTTCTTAGCCACAAATATATGAAAATTTAAGACTTTCCTGGAAGTTACTGACTCTGATTAAAACAACTTTGTCTGGGCACCGTGGCTCACGCCTGTAATCCCAACACTTTGAGAGGCTGAGGTGGGTGGATCATCTGAAGTCAGGAGTTTGAGACCAGCCTAGACAGCATGGCGAAACGGTGTCTCTACTAAAAATACAAAATCAGCCAGGTACGGTGGCGGACGCCTGTAATCCCAGCTACTTGGGAGGCTGAAGCAGGAGAATCACAAACCAGGCAGGTGGAGGCGGCAGTGAGCTGAGATCACACTATTGCACTCCAGCCTGAGCTACAGAGTAACTCCGTCTCAAGAAAAAAAAAAAAAAAAAAAAAAAGCCTTTATCCCTGATATTTGTGGTACCAATGTCTGAAGCTGTCATGGTCTTGGTGGATAGCACCTATGTACACTTTTTTTTTTTTTTTTTTTTTTTTTTTTTTTTTGAGACAGGGTCTCACTCTGTTGCCCAGGCTGGAATTCAGTGACACAATCATGGCTCACTGAAGCCTTGACCTCCCAGGCTCAAGCAATCCTCCCACCTCAGCCTCTCAAGTAGCTGAAATTACAAGTGTACTCCACCATGCCCAACTTTTCTTTTTGTAGAGTTGGCATTTTGCCATGTTGCCCAAGCTAGTCGAAAACTCCTGGGCTCGGCCAGGCGCGGTGGCTCAAGCCTGTAATCCCAGCACTTTGGGAGGCCGAGGCGGGTGGATCACGAGGTCGAGAGATCGAGACCATCCTGGTCAACATGGTGAAACCCCGTCTCTACTAAAAATACAAAAAATTAGCTGGGCATGGTGGCACGTGCCTGTAATCCCAGCTACTCAGGAGGCTGAGGCAGGAGAATTGCCTGAACCCAGGAGGCGGAGGTTGCGGTGAGCCAAGATCGCGCCATTGCACTCCAGCCTGGGTAACAAGAGCGAAACTCCGTCTCAAAAAAAAAAAAGAAAAGAAAAGAAAACTCCTGGGCTCAAGTGATCCCCCTACCTCGGCCTCCCAAAGTGGTAAGATTACAGGCATGTGCCACCACACCCAGCTTAACTGTAAAGTTTCAATCTTAGCAATTTTGTGTGTTTTCCCCTCTACATGGGTGTTATTTTTCAGGAGAAGCTAATTCTTTTTTTTTTTTTTTTTTTTTTTTTTTAGACGCAGTCTCACTCTGTTGCCTATGCTGGAGTACAGTGGCACAATCTCGGCTCACTGCAACCTCTGCCTCCCAGATTCAAGCAATTCTTCTGCCTCAGCCTCTGAGTCACTGAGATTACAGGCATGTGCCACCAGGCCCGGCTAATTTTTGTAGAGATGGGATTTCGCCATGTTAGCCAGGCTATTCTCAAACTCCTAGCCTCAAGTGATCCGCCTATCAGCCTCCCAAAGTGCTGGGATTACAGTTGTGTGCCACCGCACCCAGACCAAGGAGGAACTAATTATTTTAATGCCTAGTCTCCCATGCAAACCTTCTTCAAGTAAACTGTTTTGCTAAATGGTTTAGTTTCTTAGGCTTCCTATACCAGCTAGGGAGGGTTAAGTCACAACTGAATCACAAGACTTAAGAAGGGTCCCGCCTAGCCAGCACAATGGCTCACACCTGTTATCCTAGCACTTTGGAAGACAGAGGCAGGTGGATCACCTGAGGCCAGGAGTTCGAGACCAGTCTGGCCAACACAGCAAAATACTGTCTCTACTAAAAATACAAAAATAAACTGGGTGTGGTGGCACACTCCTGCAATCTCAGCTACTCAGGAGGCTGAGGTAGGAGAGTCACTTGAGGTTGCAGCCGAGATTGTGCCACTGCACTCCAGCCTGAGGGACAGACTCCATCTCAAAAAAAGAAAAGAAAAGAAAAGGTAAGGGGACAGAGAGACAGGGTGACAAGACTCCAGCTGAGAAATACGAGGATGGTTACTCACTCAGGAGGCAGGAAAGGTGACACAAGGCCAAATTAGACCTCGAGGTCTCCAAATTAGACCCTGAGGAGCCTTCAGTACTTTTTTGTTTTTTTTTTTCTGAGACACAGTCCAGGCCCCAGGCTGGAGTGCAGTGGTGCGATCTCAGCTCATTGCAACGTCCACCTCCCAGGTTCAAGCAATTCTCCTCCCTCAGCTTCCCAAGTAGCTGGGACTACAGGCACACGCCACCACACCCAGCTAGTTTTTGTATTTTTTTTTTTTTTTTTTTGAGACGGAGTTTCGCTCTCATTGCCCAGTCTGGAGTGCAATGGCACGATCTCGGCTCACCGCAACCTCCGCCTCCTGGGTTCAGGCAATTCTCCTGCCTCAGCCTCCTGAGTAGCTGGGATTACAGGCACGCGCCACCATGCCCAGCTAATTTTTAGTATTTTTAGTAGAGACGGGGTTTCACCGTGTTGACCGGGATGGTCTCAATCTCTTGACCTTGTGATCCACCCGCCTCAGCCTCCCAAAGTGCTGGGATTACAGGCTTGAGCCACCGCGCCCGGCTTAGTTTTTGTATTTTTAGTAGAGATGGGGTTTCACCATGTTGGCCAGGATGGTCTCTATCTCTGGACCTCATGATCCACCCGCCTCAGCCTCCCAAAGTGCTGGGATTACAGGCGTGAGCCACCGCGCCCGGCCAAGCCTTCAGTTCTTTTTTTTTTTTTTTTTTTTTTTTTTTTTTTTTTTTTTTTTTTGAGACGGAGTTTTGCTCTTGTTACCCAGGCTGAAGTGCAATGGCGCGGTCTCGGCTCACCGCAACCTCCGCCTCCTGGGTTCAGGCAATTCTCCTGCCTCAGCCTCCTGAGTAGCTGGGATTACAGGCACACGCCACCATGCCCAGCTAACTTTTTGTATTTTTAGTAGAGACGGGGTTTCACCATGTTGACCAGGATGGTCTTGATCTCTTGACCTCGTGATCCACCCGCCTCCGCCTCCCAACGTGCTGGGATTACAGGCTTGAGCCACCGCGCCCGGCCCTAAGCCTTCAGTTCTTAAGGGATCAAGGTGCTTTTCTTTGAAATGACATAAAATGAAAAAATAAAAAATAAAGAAATGAAATGAAATGAAATGACATAAAATGTACATTAATGCCAAGATTAAATCCCTGTGAGGATTGTTTCTCTCTCTCTTTTTTAGAGACAAGATCTCATTCTGTCACCCAGGCTGGAGTACAATGGCATAAACTCGCTGCAGCTTCTAACCTCTGTGCTCCAGCAATCTTCCTGCCTTAACCTCCCCAGTAGCTATAATTACAGGTACACACCACCACACCCAGCTAATTTTTTATTTTTTGTAGAAACAGCATGTTTCCTTATGTTGCCTAAGCTGCTCTCAAACTCCTGGCCTCAAACGATCTTCTCACCTCAGCCTCCTAACTCACTGGCACTACAGGCTAAGTTTGGCCTGTTATTCTTTCTCTTTTTTTTTTTTTTTTGAGATGGAGTCTCGCTCCCATCACCCAGGCTGGAGTGCAGTGGCAAGATCTCAGCTCACTGCGACCTCCACCTCCCGGGTTCAGGCAATTCTTCCTCAACCTCCCAAGTGGCTGAGATTACAGATGTACACCACCATGCCCGGCTAATTTTTGTATTTTCAATAGAGATGGGATTTCACCATGTTGGCCAGGCTGGTCTCAAACTCCTGACCACAGGTGATCTGCCCGCCTCAACCTCCCAAAGTTCTGGGATTACAGGTGTGAGCCACCACACCTGGCCAGGCCTGTTTTTCTTTAAGGGACTATGTTGCCCAGTCCTAGGCTCAAGCAATCTTCCCTGCTCAGCTTCCTGAGTAGCTGTGACTACAGGCCCATGCCACCACACACCTGGCTTGCTTTTTAATTTCTGACGGCAAAGTACTGGATAAATTCACCAGAGCTAAATTTTTCTTTTTGGAGGCCTTGGGCTCCTGTCTTGCCAATGATCTGATCCCTCAAGGACTGAGTTGCTGCCTCCACCAGGAGTTGAAAGCCATCTAGAAGCTCCCCAGGTATACAGGTGTTAAAAACAAGTTTCAAGCAAAGGAACTGATCAGGGTTTGTAGGTGGGGAGGGGGCCTGCACACCTTCCCTGACTCCAGTTTCCTCGTAGTGTATTCTACTTACGCTAGAATAGGGACTTCTTTTTCCCCACCAGTTGTCAAATGATCCTTTATTGAAATATTTTCCTTTATGCTTCTTAACAACCTGGGCATTCCACAGCACCACTGTTGATGTCATCTATGATGTCTTGAGGGTGGAGGCCATCAACATTACAGTCCACAGACTGGGAAGTTCCCAGGATCTCCTTAACAGTTCCAGAGAGTTCGCTGGCTGAAGATCAGTGCTGCACCTGTTGAGCAATGTTGATGATCTCATCAAAAGTGATAGTCCCACTGTGGTTATTCTGGTTTTTTTCTGTCTATCGGTGGTTCCTTGAGGGCTTTGATGATCAGGGTAGAGGCAGAAGGCACCACCTCAGTCTGGGCCTGTCTATTCTGAATGGTCAGTTTCACTATAATCCTCAGGCCCTTCCAGTCACTCGTTGCCTTGGCAATGTCATCCCCAACCCTTTTTGGAGACAGACTCAGGGGGCCAATCTTGGGGGTCAGCACAGACATGGCACCGACTTCACCCTCAGTGCATCTCAGGTATACAACTTTGATCTCGCTCACATCGAACTTCAGCAATGTGGTGGAGGCGGCTGGCGTTGGATGAACCCGGATTCAGGACAACCAAAGAAAGTTGCACCTTGGCCTCCTCTGAGCTGAGAGCCAAAAAGGGGACTTTCAAACTATTTTTTATTACCACATCCCAAAGTAAGAAATACTTTTTTTACGTGGTGCCCTAGTACAAACCACACATTCACAAAATTCATAAAATGCTGATGTTTTCCATTCTATTCTTTTTTCTTTCTTTGAGACAGAGCCTCACTCTGTTGCCCAGGCTGGAGTGCAGTGCCACGATCTTGAATCACTTCAACCTCTGCCTCTCAGGTTCAAGAGATTATCATGCTTCAGCCTTCCGAGTAACTAGGATTACAGGTGTGTGTAGTCGGCTAATTTTTGTATTTTTAGTAGAGATGAGGTTTCACCATATTGGCCAGGCTGGTCTCAAACTCCTGGCCTCAAGCAATCCACCCAGCTCAGACTCCCAAAGTGTTGGGATTACAGGCGTGACACACAGTGTCCAGACTTCTATTTCATTTTCTAATTTAAAGTTGTAGTAGCAACCCCTAAATTAATTTCACAACTCCCTAACAGTCTTGAACCAGTTTGAACCCCAGCACTGGAGTCATACTCTTGGGTTCTCTCCTCAACCCTCACTCACTGTCCCCCACAGGCTTGATTTATTTGGATGGGGATTTTAGAAGGCAGGAGGCATGCTCAAACTGGCTGCTTCTGAGCTCCCCTCCCAGCCCTGCCCATCTGCAAAAAGCAGCTCAGGATGCTCCCTGCTTCCTGGGGTGGGGTCTGGCTCCGTAGCGTCAGCAGGTGACATTTTTCTCTCCATTTGGCTGTCTCCTGCGTCTTCTCAATTAGTTCTAAACTTGGGGAGAAGAAGTGTTACTTATTATCCTATAACATTTAGCAATGTTAAATAGTTCCAGGAGTTCCAGCAAGATAAGGGTTAATTTGTTCTGGATGGGTTTTCCAACAAGGGATTTGTTGGGGACAGAGTTAGTGAAAACAGTTTCCTTGGGTCAATGGGGCAAGGCATATGAAGCACAAATTATTCAGAACTGGGGCTGAAATGGATAAGAACAAGAGGTAATCACCAGAGAGGCCAGTTTTCTGAAATGGAAGGAATCGGAGTATAGTGTGTGGGCTGCTAGAAAAGAGCAGGGGGCAGGATGGGAGGTAAGGAGTGAGAAGGGGAAGTGGGCAAATTTATTTATTTATAAGTTAGTCCCCTCCCCTGTACAAAATGGCATGGAGTGGCTAACAATGAAACCACATCCTGAAATCAATGTCAATACACACACCAGGGGCAACCATTAACCAATAGGAAGCAGGAGCCGGTACTAAATGCTCCAACCTCTCTTCCTTCTGAGAGGCATTTAGTGCCCTTAGAGGTCCCAGTGGGGTTCGGCCCAGAAGGTCCACAGCAGAGCCCTTGTGGTGCACCCTGACAGTGACCTCGTTTCTTTCTTCCCTGTGCTACTCTCCCCATATCCTTCTCCTGCCTCCAGACATAGCCTTCCAAATAAGTGCACCGTCCTCCAAAAGTGTTAATACATAAATAAAATTTTTCATTTTCTTTCTTTTTTTTGAGAGGGAGTTTCACTCTTGTCGCCCAGGCTGGAGTGCAATGGCGCGATCTTATCTCACTGCAACGTCCGCCTCCGGAGTTCAAGCCATTGTCCTGCCTCAGCCTCCCTAGTACAGTAGCTGGGATTACAGGCGCCCACCACTACGCCAGGCTAATTTTTGTAACAATAGTAGAGATGGGATGTCATCATGTTGTCCGGGCTTGTCTCAAACTCCTGACCTCAGATGATCCACCCGCCTTGGCCTCCCAAACTGCTGGGATTACAGGCATGAGCAACTGCCCCGAGCCAGAAATAAATTTTTCAAAAGAACCAGTGCCGGAAGAAATAAGATATAGCTAAAAACATCACTATCTGGGAGGAGAGGAGCATAGATATGTAGCCAAAGGGAAAGGGGGCCAAATCAGGAGGAAAGGGGCTGGGACCCAGAGATACAGAGGGCTCGGGAACTAAAAAGAGGTGAAGAGTTGAGACAATGTACAAGGGAAGCGGTAGCTCTGTTGGGTCCTGAGAGCCATAGGCGATCTCTTGACCCAGGTACCCTACAGCTGTACATGGAGAGCCCCTCCAGAGAGCCAAAAGAACCCGACTGCTGTACTCGGGGCATTTCTCCTGTTCTTCCTCCTCGTGCTACACACCTGGAAGCCTTGGCAGTCACTGGGCGGACCTATGTAACAAGGCAGTCAGCTCTAAACATTCTGAACTCCTGACACTGCTTAATCCAGCCTGATCAGGAGCCCCAGACAGCAAAACCCCCGGGGGCCAGGAGGCAGCGAAAGGAGGCTAGAGGCGGCGGGGAGTCAGGAACCTGGGTTCTATTCCTGCCTCTGCCACCCCACAGCCGTGTAATCTCCGGCGTCTTGCTTCAATTTCCTCCCCAAGGTCTTGAGGGATGCCTAGGAGACAAAACGCTTGGGTTTGAACGCAGGCTACACCAAAGCACTACGATGCGGCGTTGGGCGGGTTACTGAGCTCCTGGGCCTCAGTTTCCCTTTCTGCGTGGTATCGTTGTAAGGGTAACCGTTAAAAGCTGTGAGCTAACCCCAGGTGGATGCTAGCAAGCACCGCCGTCTCCCGTCCTCCTCAGGCACAGCCTCTCAATCTCCCCCGCGCGCAACCGGCAGGGGGAGCGGGGGTCCCCGAGGGCCAACCAGCGCCCCCCACCGCGCCGCCGGATCCCGGGCGGCAAGCCGTGACAGCGGCGGTGCATTGTGGGGCTTGTAGTGCGGGACTGGAGCTGGGTGGGTGGGCGCGGCCGAGGCAGTCGCAGCGGGGCCATCTTCGGCGGGCGAGCGGGCTCGGACTGTGCAGCCCGCACCTGTGCCCCTCGCCCGGCCCGATGGCGCCGCGGCCGCTGGGCCCCCTGGTGCTGGCGCTGGGCGGCGCCGCGGCGGTGCTGGGCTCGGTGCTCTTCATCCTTTGGAAGACCTACTTCGGCCGCGGCCGGGAGCGGCGCTGGGACCGGGGCGAGGCCTGGTGGGGCGCGGAGGCTCCCCGCCTCCGCGAGTGGGACGAGTGGGACGTGAGTGCCGGGCCTGCGCCTCCGCGCGTGTGGCCGAGGGGTGTGACCGCGGCCCAGCAGGCGCCGGGAGCTTGGTCGGGGGGGTGAAGGGGGCGGTGTCAGGGGCTTGGCCGCAGCAGTGCAAAGGCTCCGCGCGGGTGGGCGATCAGAATACAGTAACCGAGGAATGGGTGGGCGTGGTAGGTGTGTGCGGCGCCGCAGCACCACGCTGTGGGACCCGGTCGTTCCCGCAGGGGCCGCAGTTTGGAGGGCGCGGCTCGACTCGCGCCCCTCCCGCACCTGCGCAGTGCGCCTTGCCCCGGGGCATGCCGGGAGAAGCCCCGCCCCTCCCGCATGCGGCCGGAACTCCGAGCCTGGCGGAGGAAGCGGGCGCACGAGCCGGAGGAATTGGCCCGAGGCCGCTAGGGAAAGCCACAAGTCTGGGGTTTGGATTTCAGGACTCCCAAGGCAGCTCTCGTCCCCTTCCTCCAGACCATGCCTGTCTGTCCCGGGACGAGTGGAGGGCGGGCCGGGGCGCTCTGGTGCCTTCGGTCTTCCCTCGGGAAGGGTCCGCCGGGAGGCTGCCGGCCGCAGCCCGACCTCCGCTTCCCCGCAGCCCGAGGACGAGGAGGACGAGGAGCCAGCGCTAGAGGAGCTGGAGCAGCGCGAGGTGCTGGTGCTGGGGCTGGATGGCGCGGGCAAGAGCACGTTCTTGCGCGTCCTGTCGGGGAAGCCACCGCTGGAAGGACACATCCCCACGTGGGGCTTCAACTCCGTGCGGCTGCCCACCAAGGACTTTGAGGTGGACCTGCTAGAAAGTGAGCGGACACCCTACCCCAGGCGTCCCCAAACTTTTTACACAGGGGGCCAGTTCACTGTCCCTCAGACCGTTGGAGGGCCGCCACCTACTGTGCTCCTCTCACTGAGCACCAGTGACAGAGGTGCCCCTTCCTGAAGTGCGGCGGGGGGCCGGATAAATGGCCTCAGGGGGCAGCATGCGGCCCCCGGGCCGTAGTTTGGGGACGCCTGCCCTACCCCGTCTCCTCATCTCCTCTGCTTTACCAGTCCTGCATTCTCCACAGGGAAGGAGGCTTCCAAAATGCATGTGTAAGCAGCACTTTCCCCTGTAGGAATCCTTCCCACCCCTTTCTTGGGCACCGGATTCAGTCCAAGCTCTGTGCTCTGACATTTAAGGCCCTTCATAATCGGGCCTCTCCAGCTCAGTAAATACTTGTTGAGTGCCCGCTGTGTGTCAGGCATTGTGCTGAGGGCTTTGTGGGGATCCAGAGATGAGCGCCTCTGTCTCTCACAGCATAAGGGTCAGAGAAGCATAACCAGAAACACTAGGGTGCGGGGTGACCAATGGGACTGTGCAGAGGGACAGAGAGGAACAGAAAGGTGACCCAGGCTGGGGGACTGTGTTGGCAACCATGTGTTCTTAGGATGAAATAAGGCATTTCAAAGGGAAAAGAAGGACATGGTGATACTGAACAGGGGAAACTGAATGAAGAATGGCTGTGTATAGACAGGGCAGGGGGTCTTGAGTTTACTAGACAGTAGGAGTCCTGGCTCCTATCACAGCCATCACTGGCAGTTTTGAACCTATAGGAGAAAGCTAGGAATTGACAAGAGGCAAAGCAAGACAGCCAAGGGAGAACTGAAGAGTACCATTTATTGAGCACCTATGTGTCAGTCCTGTGAAAGGTACATTGTACATGGTCCTTGTGGGGTTTACTGCAGCCTCTTAGGAAAGTTCAGTGAGGAGTCTGGTGCTGAAAGCCAAGGACTTGCCCCGAGAGACCCACCTGTCCGAGCTAGAGCTAAAACGCAGTCTGAGAAGCTGCGGAACCTGCAGGCTTTTCCTTGCCCCTGGCTGGTGGAAGCTTGCAAAGCTAGAAGTAGGGTGCGGTGGGGCTGTGAGCATTGAGCCAGGGCCCAGGAGGCTCTGAGCTGGCCCCTGGCCTCTCCTCAGTTGGTGGCAGCCAGAACCTGCGCTTCTACTGGAAGGAGTTTGTGAATGAGGTGGATGTGCTGGTGTTTGTGGTGGACTCAGCTGACCGACTGCGGCTGCCCTGGGCCCGACAGGAGCTGCACAAGCTGCTGGACAAGGACCCTGACCTGCCTGTCGTCGTGGTGGCCAACAAGCAGGTGAGGGCTGTGGGAGGCCAGCTCAGGCCAGTGGATATCCACTTAGAGATGCTTGGGTAGGGGCAGGGAGCGCTGCCTGGGCCCATTGCCTAGAGAGGGTGGCTGAGATGCTGCCCCCGCCTCTTCTACCTTTGCTCTGTCCTCATCCCTGCCTCTGTCTTCCTTCCTCTTTGCCTCCCTATCATCTTGCACCCTGGAGAGATGAGAAAAAATAATAATAAAGTGCTTGCTATATTCCAGGCATGGTATTTTGTTTTTGTGTTTGTTTTTTTGAGACAGAGTCTGTTGCCCAGGCCGGAGTGCAGTGGCATGATCTCGGCTCACTGCAACCTCTGCCTCCCGGATTCAAGCAATTCTTGTGCCTCAGCCTTCCAAGTAGCTGGAATTACAGGCACGTGGCACCGTACCTAGCTAATTTTTGTATTTTTAGTAGAGGTGGGGTTTCTTTTTTTTTTTTTTTTTTTTAAGATGGGGTTTCACCATGATGGCCAGGCTGGTCTTGAACTCCTGACCTCAGGTGATCCACCCACCTCCCACCTCAGCCTCCCAAAGTGCTAGGATTACAGGCGTGAGCCACCAGGCCCAGCTTGAGGTGGGGTTTCATCATGTTGGCCAGGCTGGTCTCAAACTCCTGACCTCAAGTTGAACCGACCACCTCAGCTTTCCAAAGTGCTGGAATTGTAGGCGTAAGCCATGGTGTCCGGCCCCCAGGTGTGGTTTTGAATAACATTTCTTCTTATGCTTCTGTTGACACTATAAAGTATGGGATACTATTCCCATCTTATAGATGAGCAAAGTTTTGTAACTTTCCAAGGTTGTACATCTTGAGTAATAGCATTGGTCCAGGGATGGTGGCTCATGCCTGTAATCCCAACAGAGGCTGAGGAAGGTGGTTTCTTTGATTCCAGGAGTTTGAGACCAGCCTGGGAAACATGGTGAAACTCTGTCTCTACAAAAAAATGCAAAAAAAAGTAGCTGGGCATGGTGGTGCATGCCTATAGTCCCAGCTACTTGGGAGGCTGAGGCAGAAAGATCACTCTAACCCAGGAGGTCAGGGCTGCAGTGAGCTGTGATCACACCACTGTACTCCAGCTTGGGTGACACAGCCAGACCCTGTCTCAAAAAAAAAAAAAAAAAGTAGTGGAATTGGGATGTCTAACTCTAAAGCTGTACCTTTTCTACTCTCCTATGCCCTTGCAGCTTCTGGCTCTAGATCAGAGAACTAAAGCTGGTAACTGATTAGAGTTAAAACAGGTTAGATAATAACAATAACAGCTAACATTTATTGTGTGCTTACAGTGTACCATACATGTGGTCATCATCTGACAATCATGACCTTACTTCAGCCCTGCAAAAACCCTACAATAGGCCCATCATTACAACTAACTACCTGAAATTACAGCTGGTATGTGGCAAAGCCCAAACTCAAACCCAGATCTTCTTCAAAGTTCCTGCTCTTAACCAGTATACTGTACTCTCTTGAGTGCCAGAGTCACCTTGGGCCCAGGAACCCGCAGTATCACAGACTTGGGTCCCATTCTCAATATCAGGTGAAACTGCCAGAGTACAGAATCCGATCATGTTTCCTGTGGCCTAAACTCAGGTGCCTCTGAGAGCTGTAGGATTTGTTTCCAACCTGACTTGGAGAGAGGCTGTATGTCTTTTTTTTTTTTTTTTTTTTAAGACAGAGTCTCATTCTGTCACCCAGGCTGGAGTGCAATGGTGGTGTGGTCTTGACTCACTGCAATCTCCACAACCTCCACCCCCTAGGTACAAGTGATTCTCCTGCCTCAGCCTCCTGAGTAGCTGGGACTACAGGCATGTGGCACCACACTTGGCTAATTTTTGTATTTTTAGTAGAAATGGGGTTTCACGGTGTTCGCTGGTCTTAAACTCCTGACTTCATGATCTGCCCACTTCAGCCCCTCAGAGTGCTGGGATTGGAGGTGTGAGCCATTGCACCCGGCTGGCTGTATGTCTTTGACCTCAGATTACCCCACCTATTAGGAAACATTTGACAACTATTTATAAATAGGTGACTGTATGTCCTGTCCAAGACAGTTTCCATTTACCACTGTTGTTCTGGTTCTATTAATAGTGCCCACTCTGAGCCTCAGACTACCCCAGTTTGGACCAGGAATCACATCATATCCTATTTATAAACTAGTTTGTAGCAGTTTTGAATCTGTAGGAGACAACATCTAAGGTCCCAGCCGTCTATGAATTGCTCCAGGAAGAATCATTTAATCTTGGGCCAGGGTTGAAATTACAATGTACCATCACCAGCCATGCTGCGTAGTGGTCTCTTGTTTTCCTCCAGCTAGTTTCTAGAGATCTTGTCTGGAAGTGATCCTACTATACCATCTGTCCATGACTGAGTTGACCCTTGGTTATCAAACCAACCTGAGTTGGAACCTGGCTCAGCAGCTTATCACTGTTACTTTAGCTCAGTGATTTCTCCTTCCTGCGCTAATTTTCAAATCAATTAAGTGTAGACTGTGAAAATTAAATAAGCTAGGTATATAAAGGCCTTGTCTACAATGCTTGACTATAGAAAGTGGTGTGTTTCTTGCCACAGTGGTTGATACACAATGAAAAGAGGTTGGTACAAAGGAGAGAGGGTGAGGGAGAGAGCATTGAGTTTAGACCGAGGGGTCCAGAGGCTACTTGGGGGAACTTGGGGCCTGATATTCCCGGGTGTACCCTAAAACAGTTTATTTCACGAATGACAAGGGTGTGAATATGTTAGGAAATGCTGCCAGCTGTGTTCTGATTTCTCTGTCTCACCCAGGACCTGAGCGAGGCCATGAGTATGGTGGAGATGCAGCAGGAGCTGGGCCTGCAGGCTATCGATAGCCAGCGGGAGGTTTTCCTCTTGGCGGCCAGCATTGCCCCTGCAGGACCCAGCTCTGAAGAGCCTGGCACCGTGCACATCTGGAAACTGCTCTTGGAACTTCTTTCCTAGGCTGGAGCTCTCCTCGCCACCTGCCTGTGAAGACCACAGTTGTACCACTGCTGCTTCATTGCCAGACTGGGCCTGGGGCAAGAGCCACATGGCAGCATTTCCCTCCTCCCCTCCTTTCCCTCTTGAGAGCAGGGCCTGGGTAAGGCCAAGAACCATGCAGAAGCCTTCATAGTGAGGTGACCGTGAAGCTGAAGTAGGGAGGTGGGTGAAAGAGGGTGGGGAGGATAATGTCTGGCTCATTCCAGACTGGAATGTGGATCTAGCTTTCCCTTCTCTGTACAGTGGGATGCTCAGTGGGCTCAATCCTTCCCTCCTTACAGCTGAGAAACTAGTGTAGGTGTCAGAAACACTCCTAGAGCCTCAAGGTCTCCCAGTCTAGACTCTTCCCTCCTGATGATGTCATGCCCTTCTCACGTGGGCAGCTTCTGAGTGGTAACACAGCAAGCCTTTGCTCCCAGTCCTGCATTGTACAGCCCCAGCTCTATGTAAATGACTTGTGGCCTTGTGCAATCTCTGCCTCTCTGGCCCCAGGGCCATTATTTTTAAAGGGAGGTGGTTTCCTGATTCGGAGATGCCTTTCCCAGCCTTGGGAGTGTGAAGTGCTAGGATGAACCTGGCGATCCTAGCAAAGAGCTTTCTGAAGACCTCCCTGCTTTTCCCTGAGCCCAGGCCTGGTCTGCCAGCCTCACTTGACTACAGAATAACTGATATTCATCAACCAAACAGAAAAAGTGAAGGCTGGGATTTTTCCCCACTAATCTGGCAACAAGCTGCTGCTCTTGTACTAACTGTGCCAATGACCATGTTTACAGAAGTCAGGGGAAGGAACGAGCCTGTGTCCCTGGGAAGACGGTCAACTGGAGCTAGGTGTTGACCTCAGAACTGCATTTTATTTATTAATTTATAAGAGAAACAGGCCAGAATTCTAGGCTCTGTTTCTAGGTGCTGTTATCAAAACCCCAGATGATAGTGATAGAAAATGTAGAACTTAGGAAAATAGCTGGAATCATGAATGGCAATGAGAGATAACATACAGATGTCAATGGAGACCAAGCTGTAGGCTTCTTCCTACCACCGGGCCTTTGAGGCTGTCGTTGATATCTTAGTACTTTACGAGAACTCACATGAACTGAAACTCTACCACTTGGCCTAGGATGTTGAAAGGCTGCAAACTCCTTCTGGGTAGATAGCAAATGACTCTGAGAGAGGATCTCTATTATATGATCTAGGTAAAAAGATGGGGAAAAAATTGTATTATGCGATCCTAAGGATAGGAATAGCAGACTAGCCAACAGGATGGCCTTGGGTATGTCACTCAGTCTTTCTGGACTCATTTTTTCCCCAGTGAAAGCCAAGTTGGACTGAATTTCTGGACTTCTCATCAGTGCACATTCTGTGGTTCTCCAGCGCTTGGTGATCAGTCCATAAGGACTGGCTGTGTACTGACACTTACTGTTGGTACAGGCAAAGAGGAGCCTGTTGTCTGTTAGGGACCACTAAATAATCGACAACCACAAATGGTTTGTTTTTTTTTTTTAAGGAAAGCTGTCCAGCTCAATTTGCTGTCTGGTTGAGAATAGAGATGTGTGCCTTCATTTCATTTGACATTTACCCAGCATGCCTCCTCAGTTCCACACTGTGACCAGTGCAATAAGAGGAACTATGATAAAAATAGTTCAACAGGCAGGAAGGAAGGTGGGAAATACTGAAGTCCAGAAGTGAGTGCGATCATTGGCAGAGTGGCTGCCGTGCCCTGGGGCTCCATACACATCAGAGTAGAATCACTGTTCTTTAAAGTGCTGGTTCACTTTCTGCAGTAAGAAGTGATTTATGTGCTCTTATATAAAATTTTAAGGAATGACCTGGGTTTTAGAGTAGGCTTTGAAACTTTGCTGGCAGCTTTTCATTTTGTCATTGGAAGGGTAAGAGACTTTTCTCCTTTGTTTATGAACTCCTTATTCTTCAGTGCTTGAAGGTGTTAACAAAAAAAAAAACCTTAGATAACTTTAACAGAGTTTAAAAACTGTTCTGTTTTTGAGCAGAAGAAAGATTCATTAACAGGGTAGTACCTAGGATGGAAAGCAGTTCAGAATGCTCAGTGTGTGTAGGCCATATTTATAGCCAGAGAAATGAAAATGACTTAGATTGTCTGATTGGCTACAGTCTGGCATTTGCCTTATTTGGACATATTTTAGCAGCCTTCAGCCTATGATTGACTGAAGGTTTGGCTGCTGTGATGGCTAAAATTCAGCTACTTGTTAGAACGTGCTTTTAGGTTAGGTTAGGGATTGTTTACACTTTAAATTACAATCACTGTGTACAAAGGCAGCTTTAGAGCAGACTTAATTCAGCTTAGCAATTTCCCCCATTTTGGTCAGCCTCTTAATTTTGAGAGATTGATAATTCCAGGCACTGACACCACCTTCTAGCACTGTCATAAGAGACTTGTTTGATCTCATTATGGAATTCACAGTTTATAATGTTATCAGATTATTCATGTCTTCATGTTTTTGTTACTTTAATCGTAATGAGACCGTTTGAGGTACAAAGGATGGCTGCATAGGTGTATTTAAGACTATAGCACATCAGTGAGGACCTTAGGATGGCTATCAGGAGCATCATACCAAGAAACTGCAATGCATTCCTTAATATGAGTCTCCACAAACCAGACTGATCAGAATCAAACAGCTCAAGTTCAGATGATAAAAATAGTTCCATGGCATTCCAGCTCTGTTGTTCAGTCTTTGTTCAGGGCATAATGGCAACTAAGGACATAGTTCACTATGAAGTAGCTCAATTTTAAAGTTTGATTTTTTAGTTAGCTTGGTAACACAAGTCATAGTTACTGGGATAGCCACTAAAAAGAAACATAAAGATCAGAAAACCTTAAACAGTTAAGCTTGCTATCTACCATTCAGGATGCCTACAAACCAACCATAATGTGTTTCTGCAAACACATTATGTGTTCCTTTTTCTTAAGAAATGTCCTTGATGTGTTTGGTGGCATTATCTACAGAAGTAACAGTCACCACTGCATTTTTTTTTTTTTTTTTTTTTGAGATAGAGTTTCGCTTTTGTCCCCAGGCTGAAGTGCAATGGCACGATTTCAGCTCGCTGCAAACTCTGCCTCCTGTGTTCAAGCGATTCTCAAGCCTCAGCCTGCTGAGTAGTTGGGATTACAGGCGCCCACCACCACACCTGGCTTTTGTGTGTGTGTGTGTGTGTGTGTTTTTTTTTTTTTAGTAGAGATGGGGTTTTACTGTGTTAGCCAGGCTGGTCTTGAACTCCTGATCTCAAGTGATCCACCTGCCTTGGCCTCCCGAAGTGCTGGGATTACAGGTGTGAGCCAGTGCACCTGGCCCCACCACCACCTTTTGAAGCTCTCCGTATTAGTAGAATCAGGGGAAAGGTAAGCACAGCATTCAGTTTTGTTCAGCACCATACACAAGCTCCTAGCTGGGCAAAGGAAATCGAAAGCTACACGAAGTTCCATTAAGTTTTTTGTTGAACACAGATGGCCTCATCCATCCATCTGTGGCTTCTACTCGTGTGAATCTATGTGCTACAAAATTTTTTTCAATTTAGCATTAATTTTAATTTCCATAGAGTTGGCACCCCACTACTGCCAAAACTGAGTCTCCAGGAACACCACTGGGACATTTGATAAGTGGAAACTAATCATCTGTTTGAGGGTAGGTATTAATTTTAGTCCTTGACCTCTGATTATGGGGACTTGCAGGGAAAGCTGTTCATAAGGCAAGTGTGAATTGGGTCAAACAGCAAGATCTGAAGTCAGGACAGAGTAAGCAGATTATCCAGAGACCTAATGTATACCCTCTGAAGCTGGAAAGGCAGGACCACCTGGTAGCATTTCAGCAGGGGTCACTTAATGTTCCCCCCTAAGTCTGCATAGCTCCTAAACAAGGTCCAGTGGGGAACTTGTTTTTATGTGGTCCTTTTTTTTTTTTTTTTGAGACGGAGTTTCGCTCTTGTTAACCCAGGCTGGAGTGCAATGGCACGATCTCGGCTCACCGCAACCTCCGCCTCCTGGGTTCAGGCAATTCTCCTGCCTCAGCCTCCTGAGTAGCTGGGATTACAGGCACGCCCCACCATGCCCAGCTAATTTTTTGTATTTTTAGTAGAGACGGGGTTTCACCATGTTGACCAGGCTGGTCTCGATCTCTTGACCTCGTGATCCACCCACCTCGGCCTCCCAAAGTGCTGGGATTACAGGCTTGAGCCACCGCACCCGGCTATGTGGTCCTTTTATAGCATGCTGTAAGGGTACATAACCACAGCCAGTGAAAAGGGATCCTACTGGATGTAACCCAGTAACATTATATAAGCAATCGCTTGGAATCACATAGGTAGTTTCCAGGTCTTAAATACGTGATGCCTGGAAGCATAGGCATAGGCAGTATTCCTTGCATAGGCATTACCTGGCCAAGTAATAACTAATAAATTGGCATTTATTATTAATTAAAAAGGTCAGGGTACCACTGCCAGTGAGTATAGGGAAGCAAGTAGTAGTGGTGTTTACAATATCAAGGTTAGCATTCCACTCTTCCTTTGGGGTTTCAGGGTGACTCATTGGGAACACAGAGAGATACTGGCATTAATGGAATCATTTCCTGATTTGGGCATTGACTCGCAAACTCAACAGTTACTCCAGTTTCTTGCTAGAGCATTGGCCTTTGCTAAAGCCAGCCCTAGATTATGGTCCCATGGATTTTCCCACAAAGAGAGAGAACGTATTTGGGTGGCAGAAAATTGGAAAGAGAGGGAAAAAGATGATTTTTTATTATTGCAGTGAAGTCCTGATCCACAGTCTAGGGAAAGCTGTTCATATCTAGGATGTCATTTGCTTCTGGGGAAAAACTTACCTGCTTAGCTTTACTGAATAGCTTCCATGTAGTTCCAGGAGTCTGGAGAGGTCCTTTTGAGTTGTGGGATGTGGACCCAAGGTTTGAAGCCCTGAAGTTTTACCACAGTGTGGGGAATGGAAGAACTTGGTGTATCTTTCATTGAGGTTTAAGGGCACTTCTCTGATGTCATCTCCAGAAGATCCAGTCTCAGGTTCCAGATTGTGAAGGGTTTGATTGTCCTCTGTGGGTCATGGGAAGTTTATTTTGTCAAAATACAGTGTGACATAATGCATTGTAGCTTTGTAGTATTTAGTCATATCAGCATTTAGGAGCGTAGGAACTACATAAAGTTCTATTAGGAGCACAAACCGTTCAGTTGAAACTATTTCATAAGGGCTCCATCTGTCTCTTGTAGGAGTGGCTCTGATCTGCTGATCAAAGCCAATGGTTGACTTTCAGATCAGAAAAATAAAAATTAAATTCAAAGCCAATGGTAGTACCTTTGGCCAAGATAATATAATTGATTCAGTTAATTTTGCCAATTTTAATTTTAAAATGTTATTGTCCTTTCCAGAAGACTAAGGGTGAAAGGGACAATGGTAGTGCCATTGTGTTTCTTTCACTTTATTTAGCTGCTTTATAGTTTCTCCAGTCAAATGAATTCCTCTGTCGCTGGAAATTCTTCCAGAGATGCCCCATAAAGGAAAGGAAACACATTTTCTATTTTTTTTTTTTTTTTTTTTTTTTTTTTTTTTTGAGACAAAGTCTCACTCTGTCACCCAGGCTGGAGTGCAGTGGTGTGATCTTGGCTCACTGCAACTTCCACCTCCCAAGTAGCTGGTATTACAGACACGCACCACCGCACCGGCTAGTTTTTGTAGTTTTTAGTAGAGATGGGGTTTCACCATATTGGACAGGCTGGTCTTGAACTCCTTACCTTGTGATCTGCCTGCTTCAGCCTCCCAAGGTGCTGGGATTACAGGTGTGAGCTGCTGAGCCCAGCCAGGAAACACATTTTCTTATAACTCCTTAGCTACTGTCATAGCATCAGCTTTCTTACACAGGAAAGCTTCTATCCAGCCAGAAAACACGCCAGCTGTTACAAGAACATACTGAAACTGAGGGTGGCAGTTGAATGAAGTCCATATGTAAATGTTCAAATGGTCTATCAGGTGGTGATGGAAATATACCACTTGGAGTTTTTATTATCTTCCCAGGATTATGAGTTTGACAAACTAAATATTGGTTATAACCCATTTTAGCAATTTAGTCACACTACCAATATGTTTTATAATTTGAATCATTTTGCTCATTTCATGAGGAATTGTGAAGTGCAGAGCTTTTTTTTTTTTTTTTTTTTTTTTTTTTTGGACACAGGGTCTCACTCTATAACCCAGGCTGGAATGCAGTGGTGCAGTCATGGCTTACGGCAACCTCCACCTCCCGGGCTCAAGCAGTCCTCCCACCTCAGCCTCCTGAGTAGCTGGGACTACTGGTATGCACCACCATCCCCAGCTAATTTTTGTAGAGAGGGTTCTACCCTCTTGCCTAGGAGGTCTTGAACTCCTGGGCTCAAGCCATCTGTCCAGCTCAAGTCCCAAAGTGCTGGGATTATAGGGATGAGCCACTACATATGGCCAAGTGCAAAGCTTTTAACAGTGGAAGTTTCAAAGGCTCAGGAAGGACCAGGGAGCCATCTGGGCTCTCCATGAGTTCACACTTAACATTATGTTTACATCTGTCAGACAACAATTTTGGTTTTCCAGATCAGGTGCATTGCACGGTTAGATGGGTCATCAAAAAGGTCATCAGTCTAATGGTGTTCATTCATTGCACATCCTGTTTCAGCACTGTCTGATTTAGCATGAAAATCTGCCAGAGTATTCCCTTGAGATTCAGGTTCAGCTTTGCAGGTATGGGCTTCAATCTTATAAGAATTTGTTATTTATTTCTTTTTCACCTTTACTCAAGATAGCTTGGAACTTAGAGCAATTTGTAATGCCAACAGGATAGTAGCAGGTTCATCCAGTTTAGTCTGTTTTGAATGGAGGCTCCACTAGAAGTGAGAAACCCTCTT